AGTTACATTTAATTGAAAAATAATTTTCTTCTATACGTATTCTCGACTTTGGTCTAGAAGTAAGTTGAAATGCCCTGCATCACATTCACAGCCCTATCATATGAGCACCAATTTTATCAATTTGATCAACCAAATCAACGATTGGTTATCCTCGTTCCTAGAATGCTTTTTGCCTAACTATGTCACCTTAGCATTGCTTAGAGCAACAAAACTAATTTCTTCTTCATCATTTTCTCTCTCCGTATTTCTTTCGGCATGAATATCAAACTCCAGAGAAAAGTAAACATCTTTATTAGCATTTAATAATTCAATCATATCGGCTACTATTTTGGTTTTTTGATCCATTGCTCTATTAGATCCGAAAATCACTTTAAAATCATAAAAAATGAGAAAGGTTTGTTCCTTAACCTTTAGCATATGGGTGTGATTGGCAAAAGTTCAAGCAAATATGAATCAAATAAAATTTATAGAAAAAAAACGTAAAAAAGTTAGATAAGCCACAATATAAAGCTAAAATTCTTACCCAAACCCATTTGTTAAAAACTTCTTTCTCAACTGTGATATGTTTTTATTAGTCATTCCACCCAAATCCACTAGAATTTTTCATATCACAAATTGCATAATGTTATCTTTTGAGTAGTTTGAATAGCTTAACACCGGATTTGATTTGGGGGTGGCTTTAAGTTGTGAAATAGGAATAAGTTGCTCCAGCATTCATTTAATAAAACTTAGATATCTAATGTAGAATATCGTATTATCCGCTTTTCATCTAGGATTTTCAGCCAAAAAGTGTAGACATTGAACTAGACAGGAATCATCTTCTTGAGTCCATAAATGGTTACCAACGTCTGAACTGTCCAATCTTCTTCTGGATAGGCCTTGAATGAATTACAATAGATTGGTACGTGATGAAGACATGTTCAATTCCTAATCACATGGTTAGAGATTATGAAATAATATCAATATAGTAAATAAAAAATAATCAAGAAAATGAAATAAACAAATACATATAGAAAAAAAGTAAAAAAAGTGTGTACTCCAAATTGTAATATACATTCGACACTCAAAAATTTTAAAAATATAATGTAAACATATATTCAACATTGATATAAAGCAAATTTTATACTCAACCAGATAATAGATACAATAAAAACCATTGGGTAAGCAAATTATAACATACAAAACATTTCTATTATTATCCCTAGGATTACAACTAATGGGTGAACATCGCATTAGCCAATTATCTCTAAACTGAGTCCAAGAATAAGATGGCTCAACATTCATAATTAAATCTTGATATTTAAATGCATCTGGTTGTCTAATACTTTCTTCAACAACATCACCTTCAATAAGGTCAAAAACCATTTCAAACTTAATTAAATTATAGAAAAGATAACAAGTAGAAATGATTCTACACTATCTTAATTGAATAGAATGACTTATCCCTTAAAATTGCCTATCTAGCTTTCAATATATTAAAACATCTCTTGATACAACTTTTTGCTTGCGAGTGTTTTATATTGAAGTATTCCTATAGAGTCATTGGTTGGAGTTCTGCCCTATAATCGCTAAGATGGTATTGTTAACCTCTATAAGGTGCCAAGAATCCTTCCTTATTTGTGTGTCCCACATCACACAAATAGTATTTACCTGTTATCCTTTAAACAACATTAATAATATGGAAAAAAAGGTGTTTCATTATTAACATTAGACGAACATAATAAAATTAATATCTTGTGGGATCGTCAACCCATTCCTACGTGTAATGGCATCCCTTAGTACTCTGTCATCTACTATAGAATCTTTTCATCTCGATAGAACATATATGAATTGCATATCTAGAGTGTAAACACCAAGGACATTGTAGCAATTTCATTTTTTTCGGTGCTATATTTAGGCCCTGTTAACTGTGTCTACATTGACTTTAATCTATGTCCCATTTAAAGCACCCAAACAACCACATTTTTATCTATTATCTGTTGAATTTTTTGGTATCAAATCAAGTTTTTTAAAACAACAACATATGCTACCTTAAAACAAAATTCAACAAAAAATTAGATTGTCTATTAATCATCTCTCTAACTCTAGTCACTTGACACTTCATAACCCTATTTTTTATATGATGGGCAATGATATGCAGGAAGCTAATTACTAGTTCTTTTATTGGCATATGTCTAGATGACTATAACCCCTCTTCTATTTTAAGTAAATGACATAATTTTGTAAAAACTCTATTGTCCATTCTAATATTATCTAGACACTATCTGTCACTCTCAAAGACCATTGCATTTAAGTTTAATTCTCTAATATGTAGCCTATCATAAGATGTTCCACCATAAGATAGTCTACATTGTTTTCTAACGTTCATATGTAATAAAGTTACAACAACAAAGCATAACTCATGTAACTAAGTCTCCATTTGGTTTAAATGCATCAAAAGCAATATAACCAATTGCATCTTCTTTCTTAGTGATAAACCAACCATAACTGTTTAAAAAACAAAATATCGTTAAAGTTGAAAACATAAATAGAAAGCAAATCTTGGCATATGGTATATGAAATCTATTAAACATCATCAAATAAAAAATAAATCAAAACAAAACGTTAGAAGATTGGAATGAGCTTAAACAAATTAACCACAAAACAAAGCATTTATATCATAAACATAAATTCAGATCTAAACGACATCTAAAAAATAAAAAATTAAAACATTGAAAGGCAACATCAGTTATAAAATATCAATAAAAAAGTATACACACCGTTTTGTGTAAAAAACAAGATAAACTTAACAGGACGAAGATTAAATAACAGATGTTAAGCTGAAATTGATTCAAAGAGAAAAGTAAATACTATAAGCTAAGATCTATTGAAAAATAAAAAAAAACGTATTGATTATTGAAACATGATGAAAACATCAAATAAAGCATTCCATATATACAAGCGCCTTATTTGATATATAAATTATAAGCTTTTCTACTTCACGCTTAGACGTTAAAACGTTCATATTGTCAGAACAGTATCTTCGAGAGGGAAAAAATTTAGTATGCGGCAATTAAAGCAGTTGTAAGAAGAAATGCCTCAATTGATAACCAATTAAGATGTTTTTTATACAAATGCCTTAGTCGTTTGTTTATACTATGATTAAAAATAATTCATGTCATAACACTATTTACGAGAAAAAAATTGTTTTAAATTATCAATTAAGGTGTTTGATTTCAATAAAAAAATGCCTTAATTGACACCAAGAATTATTTAAGGCGTTTTAAGAACTAAAAGCTATAAGTGATGATCATTGAAGGTATTTATGTACAAAAATACATTAAATGATCATCAATTATGTTGTTTCCTTAACCCAAACGCCTTAAATGATCTACAATTAAGGCATTTCTTCAATACAAATGCCATTAATTGCAATATAAAAAAAATTATGCACAAAAACTTACAATTGAGTTCCAATCACTTTCAGACAAGCTTTTCAAAAGCATAACGGTTATTTCGTAATTTTTTTTTTCAGGTCAAATTTAAAAATAAGATAATTTTCTCCTCTCGAAAATATTAAAATATCACAATGAAATATTATTTTTTTATTCCGAAACTTTGAGTACTGTTAGAAATATGATATTTTTTTTATAATCAAATTATCCTGAATCAAATATGAAAATCAACTATCTACTATTAAAATTTTAAAATAAGATTGTAAATTTTTCCAAACCAAACGTTTTCTTAAATGATTTTTACACTTAGAGGAGAATGGATGGGCGGCCGTTCATATCTTCAGACCCAAAATTTGGTATCCTATGAAGGCTAGCTGGGATTACGAATTACGATTGAGAGGAAAGGAATCTGGCCAATAAAAAGAAAAAAAAAAAGAATAAATAAAACAATACTTTAATCTATAACATATGATTATATGGTTAGGGAAGAATAATGAGTTACTAGTGCTACACCACCACTTATAGTTTATTACAAGTAAGTGTTATTTTATACTTTTTGTCATGTTCAGTCATTGGATTAAACTTTTATTTCAACGTAAAATTATTGACGTATTAAAGTTTTTATATTGAGAAGCGGAGTATTTCAAAACTTTAGCATACCTACCTTTTCAAAAAAAAAAAAAAAAAAGCTTACTTGGTCTTTTATTTAGTTTATCGGTAGACTCAAATTCGGTCTTAGATATTTTGTGTTTATTATTTTTTTTGAAATTAGATATTTTGAGTTTATGTTATTTCACATAGGATTTTGAGTTAAAATTAGAATAAAATTTTAATTAAATTTTTTACTAAAAATGCATTAATTTTAATTTTTAACAGTATAATTTTTTAATTTTATAAACAAAATTAAAAAAATTATCAATGTCTTAGTTTTTTTTCTATTTTTTTTATCTTTGCTAAACCTATAGGTGGAGTTTAAAAACCACTAACAATGGATAAAATTAGATAATTGCTCCTTGTGTTAAGTTCAAATTATGTTGTGTTTGAATCCTTTCCTTTTTAATTTTTGATTGATCTTTGTTTTAAGTTGAAATTATTTTGTGTTCGAAGTTCAAATTACTTTGTTTTTGAATCCTTTTGAATTTAATATTTGAGTTTTTGATTGATTTAAATTTTAGTGAGTTTATATTTAGGGTTTTTTAATTGATTTTTTTATATATAAGATGTTGTAATTTGAAAATAAAAAAATTTTTAAAATATTAAAATTTAAAATTTATATTTATTGAATATTATTTTTTAAAAAATAGTTAAATGAATTAATTAAATTTAATTTAAAATTATTTTGACACCTTTAATATTTTTATCCAAAAATATTATTATTATTATTTTTTTTTTTTTTTGACTTTTTCTAAATTGTCAGCCGTAAGTAACCACTAAAAAACTAAGCACCCAATTAAAAAAGGAGCAGCCCTCTGACTTGGCCTGTGCCCTCTAAGTTTTCCCGCGTTGAATAAATAAAAATTCCTTTCCTCTTCTCCAACTCCAACTCCACCTTCCCCCACCCCACCCACTCTCTTATCTCCTATTCCTTTCTTGCATGACTCTCCCTGGACTCATTCAACGACCTTCAATTCAAAACCCAAACAAACGAAGGAAAACAACTCCGCTCCTTCTCTGAAAAATCTCACTCTTTCATTCCCTCCTCCTCCACCATGTACCCTCCCTTTCTCCTCTTCCTTTCTTCCCTTTTCCTCTCCTTTCTCTCCCTTTCCCTCTCCCAACAACCCCCCAAAGGTAAATACTAATCAAACATCTCCCTTCCCTCTCCTCCCTCTTTTCATATATTGCGATTTCTATCCTCCTCTAATGCTAAGTTTTTTTTATTATTTATTTTGTAGGATATTTAATTGATTGCGGCGCAAGCGGCAAATCCGTGATCGACGGCCGAGTGTGGCTTCCGGACCACGACTTCATCTCCACCGGAACAGCCAAAAACCTAACGGTCTCCATCCTTGACCCAACCCTCTCCACCGTCCGATCGTTCCCTCTCCAAAATAATCTCCGCCGGAAGTTCTGCTACGTGGCACGCGTCTACCGTGGCGCAAGATACCTAGTTAGGACAACTTACTATTACGGCGGAGTCAACGGCCTGAATTTTCCTTCGCCTCCCGTTTTCGATCAGATAGTGGACGGCACGTTTTGGAAAGTGGTGAACACCACGGAGAATTATCAAAAGGGCTTGGCGTCCTATTACGAAGCAGTGTTTGAAGCTAAAGGGACTACAATGAGTGTTTGTATTGCTTCGAACACGTATACGGAGTCCGACCCGTTTATTTCGCGTTTGGAAATGCTGATTTTGGGGGATTCGCTTTATAATACAACGAATTTTGATTTCAATGCTTTGAGTTTGGTTGCTAGGCACAGTTTTGGGCACAATGGATCCATTATCAGGTAAGCCGAAGTTTATGGAGTAACTTTTTAACTTTTTTTTTCCTGTTATTAGTTTTCTTTTTTCATTTATTGGGAATTTTTGGAGGAAATAAAAAATTAAGCAATTATTTTTGCAGGCTAATATTTATTGTTATGCCTGTTAATAGTTTTTGCACACAAAAGCATATAAGAAATAAAATCAAAATTGAATGTAATATCAATTCTTACATAGTTGTTATACACACACACACACATAATCATTCATTTTACTATTAGAAACAATTCTATTTTGTTTTATTATTCAAAAATAAATATATGCTTTTCGCCTTTTGCTTTCAAGAAGTAAAAGCAAGTAGCAAAAGCAATTAAACCGTACTTAAATGGCTCAGATTTTTTTTTTTTCCTTTAGGGTTAGAAAATCTGATGTTACAATGCAATCTTTATTATTTTTATAGTAATTTGTTAAAAAAAGTGGGTTATATTTGTTCTCACTTTGAAAAGTTTTTGAAATTTGAAGATGGAGTTGTTTGTTGTAGATGCTTTCTCTGATTTTGCTGAAAGCGAATGTTGTTTGGTACTACCAGATTCCCTGATGATCTGTTTGATCGATATTGGGAGCCATATGAAGGAAATCATTTTGTTCTAGCAAGCAATAAGACTCCACCTGTTTCTGGGTTCTGGAATATACCCCCTTCAAAAGTATTCGAAAGAGCAGTTTCCACAGCCCAATTGGAACCCCTAGAGTTGAGATGGCTGCCTTGGTCACTTCCTAAATCGAATTATTACATTGCTCTGTATTTTGCGGATAATAGTGACTCAATGCCATCAAGCTCGAGGGTGCTTGACATACACGTAAATGATGTAAGGTATTACGGCAATTTGAATGTGACTTCAGAAGGAGCTGCGGTCTTCTCAACCAGATGGCCTCTTGACGGCCCTACAAAAATAACTTTGAGTCCTGCTGCCAATTCAAATATTAGTCCTTTGATCAATGCTGGGGAGATTTTTGATGTTCTTGACCTTGGAGGAAGAACTCATACAAGGGATGGTATGGTTGCTAATTATTTCTACCTGCTGTTGTGTAAATTTAATTGAATTTGTTTCCATGGGATGCTCCGACTGATTCTTTGTGATTGTCTATTGCTACTTGCACTTCACCGTTAATGATTGAGAATGAACATTTAGGTCAAAATGGGTTAGATACTTGCATTATTATCTTATGCATCAGTTAGGAGAAATGAGTTTTTGGATTTGGGAGAGACCAAAACTTCTAGAGGTAGACCACGAGAGACATGGATGCAAGTAATCAAAAATAATATAAGGGTTAAGGAAGTAGAAAAAAAGGTTTTTTTTATAAAAATGAGTGGCGCAAAAAGATTCAAAATTACGACCTAACATGATTCCTTTTTTGGCCTTTCATACAGTTGACCCCCGAGTTATGGGATATAAGACTTAGTTTGTTGTGTTGTTGCACCTTCCCATCCATGTATCTGTAAAGTAATAATAATTATACTGTTTGACTTCATTCCTTTTAGTGTTTATTTAAAAGGAATCCCAATTTCTTGTTGCAGCAAGAGCTTTAGAAGAAATGAAGAACAGTTTGCGGAACCCTCCACTTGATTGGAATGGTGATCCTTGCCTGCCCCTTAATTACACATGGACTGGAGTTACATGCTCTGAGGGGGAACGAATTCGTGTGACTGCTTTGTGAGTTAGTTAAGATGCAGTATTTGCTTTCTATGCATCATTTACTGTTGCTCAAATAGCTTATTTTATTTTCGATTGTTTTCAGGAACCTGACTAGTATGGGTCTTTTGGGATCATTGTCTCCAAGCATTGCCAATTTAACTGCTCTGAGTGGCATGTAAGCTATTAAAACTAAATTTCAAGTGGTGAAATTCAGAGATAACAACATTCTAATTGAATTGTCATTTCCTCAACAGTTGGCTCGGTAATAACAGTTTATCGGGAGTAATTCCTGATCTCAGTTCATTAAAGCTACTAGCAATATTGTGAGTGTTTATATTCTTTGTGCTTTTTGCACTTTGATTCATTTGGCAGCCTAAGTAGCTGGTCATGGGCATTCTTATAGAAATGTCTTATAGCTTTTTATGAAACCCATCTCTAATATGCTCCACTTTCTGAAAGGCATTTGAACGACAACCAGCTCACTGGAGATATTCCATCATCACTTGGAGACATTGAAAGGTTACGTGAACTGTAAGTCATTCTCTCGGTATCCAGCATTTTCAACCTCATTACTTTCTTTAGCCTTTATGAAACCTATCTCTAATATGCTCTGCTTTCTGTAGTCATCTCTCAGAATTGCTTTGACCTTTGCTAAGAGCTAAAACATCTGTAGATTTCTACTTTTTGTCATCTGTGCATTGTAAAAAGTGTTTTAGAGTTGTTGCTATCCTTTAAGCATTAGCCAATACCCAATTAAATTTCTGTTTTTCTCCAAACCTTGTGTAGGAAGTCAACCCTTTGAAGTAAGTGAGGGCAATTATATAAATCTGAGAAAACTTTTACCTTCAAAATCTATGATTCAATTTTGTTGTAAAAAGAATACGTCCAGATATTGAACGATCTTGATTCAGTTGATTTATTAGCAACTTAACAGGGGACAAGTTTGTTACTTTCCTAATTTATTCTTGCAAAGTTTTAGGAAATATTATCTTTCTTTTTGCTCTTCGTTGGTTCAAATGCTTAGTTGCCTGATGAACTGCTCTAATGCTTGCTACTTGTAAGGAGAGTACAGAGAATGGTTCTATTAAAAAATGATAGAATCATAGCAGTAAAGGACTTGATGCAAGGGATTCTTGAGGCAATTATTTGTAGATTGCTTCTGGTCCCAGAACCTTATTATAGCTAGATGCTACTAGCAAGAAATAATCAGTGGAGTGGACACTCCTTTTGAATGAAAAATGAAGATATTTGATCTTTCCAGCGGCCTATTTTATGTGGGATATCCACGTTATCTAGATCAAGATGTTTTTCATTCAAAGCGTTGTTTGCTAAATTAATTTTCATCATCATCTCATTTAAATAGATTGAGTTTCATTTCTTTGTTTCATAAACATACAGATAATAAGGTACCTTCTCTTAGTTTCCTGTAGCATTTAAGCCTTGGATTCCTCAACTGCTAATCATTTAGTGGAATGATGGTATTTAAGTTTCAGATCATCATATGTTTGATCTTTAGCATTGAACAAACCTAAAAGCTGCTTACAAAGAATGCTGTTATCACTTGAAACCAATTAATCATTTTTAGAATTTTAGTTCAATATTTTGGGAAATGTAAAGAACTAGTCATATTATAAATATTAGCTAAATATAATGGATTTTTATGTCTCAGATGGCATGAGAAAAGAGTGGTGTGTAAAATGATTTCTTGAAATTAGAGAGGAGAAAATATCCTAATGTTGAAATCCTGCCTTTATAATTATAACAAAACTTTAGCCAGGAAAAAAGAAGTAATAAAATAATTAAATTCTTCTTGAGGATATTGGCTAAACTGTTAGATTCAACTTGTCTGAGAAACTTGGAAAAGGAAATTTTGTTTGTATATATTTGAGACTAGATGCGACAATGGTAACTTTATGAGATTGACACTGTCTTGCCCTATGTAATTTTTAGATTGCATCATAAAATGGTGGAAGATGAAAGTGGTAGGAATTTTTGGACTTAATAGGTGGTCTCTTATCATCCCTTTTGATGAACTTCCCATGTGCCTGACGCCTGAGCTTTTTGTTATTGGACCTATGTACTTGGTCCATTGCACATGGTTTCTTACCTATATTGAAAGGAGAATGACATGACCTGAACAATATCCATGTTCTTAGAGCCATAAGATTCATGAGTTCTGTAGGACTGACATTTGATCCATCCTACTTATTGAGGGAACAGCTATTATTTCTTATAGTTTGTGGTCCTTCATTTGTTTGCTTAACATTTGTTGTTGTATCTAGAATGAAATTCAGATCTATATATATATTTTTTTATTCATTCATTCAGGTTTCCATTGTTTTATCATAATCGTTGCTTGTTAGTAGTGTTCCCCATGTACACTCTTACCTCTTTTTTCTGAACTTGAGAATTTAAAACCATTTCAGTGCAACCATGGCTGGCAGACTGGTAAACTTATTTAATTTTTGCTGATTGGAGTTCAATTGTCAATATCACTAAGCAAAATAGAAAGATGAAACACGCCCCTTGTCTGAGTTGTCTCCACTAGCTAGTTTTCCAATTACTTCAACCTACCAATGCAATATCATATGAAAACTATATTATAGGTATAATATTTAGATCATGTTTTGTGCATAGGATGATGGATAAGATAGGATGATAATCATTCTATATTATGTTTGATTTATATCCAAAGAAGGGGATAAGATTACAAAGAGGATTAATCATCCTCTTAGTATAGGATGATTTAATCCTCCCAAAGTGGAAAGGATTATTTTTAATCCATGGGATTGAATTTTCATGTCTTATCATACTTTTAAAAATTATATTAATAATTTAAATCGTATAAACATTGAGGAAAGATAATTTTGACTAATAAATAAATTATTCTATCATACTAATTGCATACATCAAATAGAAGACAGAATAACATTATTTAATCTAACCTTTTTTTTAATATCTTATCCTATCCTATCATAATCATATATATCAAACACATCCTTAGTAGCTTAAAGATTATAAAATCCCCATTCTTCACTTTTATAAAACTGTTAAGACTTACAAAAACCAAAGTGCCGAGGCCTGAGAAAATGTATGATGTGATAAGATTCAAGTCGCATGTCTGGTTTTCATTAATATTGTGAAGGAGACAACAGATATGCATTTTACTTTTAAGTATTTCTCTGCATCTATACTGTTTTACTGGTTAATTGATGCGAATGCCTGATTTGATTCTCTGTGACTGACTTAGTTCTTTGCGTTTTCTAGATTCTTGCAAAACAACAATCTGACTGGCAGCATACCTGATAGCCTTGTTAGACCGGGGCTGGATGTTAGGTAAGAGTATAAATTTACACTAGTCTTATAAACTTCCAACTTTAAACTTTTTGAAATTATAAACTGCCAACTAAAGCTAAACTTGTAATTTGTTTTAGGACTTCTGGAAATCAGTTTTTGTCCCCAGCACCTTCTTAAGTAGATTATACATCCGTCCAGAGGTAACTTAACTTCGCACAACTGGAATGGCAAAACACTCGATTTCAGCCAATTCTCTGTGTCTATATTTATTCCATATCTAATTGGTAACATGTTGGTTTGAAAATTTTACTGCAAGTGTCACCATTGTTTTCTCTTTCACTTTAAAGTTCTCATATTTGGCCTCCTCTTGTTGGCAATATAGTATACAAGCTCCTAATGCAAGTTGGAGCATCCACAGACAGTTTTATACTAGAAATACTTGTTCATATTTATTCAGTATGATTCTATGTTGAATTCCAGGTCATGTCAGTAAATCATTCCTCACTCACTGTTTATTCCTTTCTAATATTTAGGAAATCTTCATATAGTTGTGTATTTGTTTACCATGAATATATGGTTTTGAACGCGTTTGTAACATCATTTGATTGGATTTGTTGTGGCTTTACTCCCAAATCGCTTGGTAAGAAGACTACTTTTCTGTCTAGTGTTTTAAATTATAAAATGTACAAAAAAAAATGCTAAAACAAAAAAAATGCACTTTTCATTTTCAATCAGCATTGAACTTGGTAATTCAAATTATTATACAATGATACGATACAAGAACAATATTAAGATTAAAATTTTAACTAAATTATCATATGAATTCGACAAAAAAAAAAATTTATTGTGTTTTTCATTTCACAGTTCTAATCAGCGTAGATGGTAAAGTTGCATTTGCTTTTATAACAAATTACTTTTGTACTTGGGAAACCCATCAATTCTCCATTACAATGGCATCAAACCAAATTAACAAAATTTTGAAATTTTGATGGATACTCGGTGCGCTATCTGCTCTGATGCACGGAAACAGAGCAGCTTTCGAATTCATAAATGGGGGAATCATAACCATTTGCCTTTACAGATCTTTCCTCCTTTCCCAAAAATAATTCACGAATTCATTGCTGTTAGACCATTCATCAGATTCCTTTGGATGATCTTCCAGGATGGGACCCTGGAAATTCATAGACTCTGCATCCTGCGTGTTGCTTGACTGCTCACTTTCTAGCTGCTGATCGATTAGAGCCTGACGAAGCCGATAAAAATGTAAATCTCCCCATCCCATTTTATGTGTACTTATTTGATTTTTTTTTTCGAATAAACATAACTTTGATCTTATTTTTTTTAAATATAGTCTATTGAATTAAAATTTTAAAAAATGTCTTAAAATTTTTTGAACTTAAAATTTGCAATCATATTTTTAAAATGTTTTTAATTTTCTAATTTACATCACAATACATCTTACTTCCACCCATCATATTCAAGATTTATCTAAACGTAAAAGAACAAAAAAAAAAAAAAAAGGTTCAAAATTTGAAAATGAAATTTTAAAACGAATGAACAAATTGAACAAGCCTAAATTTGAGCAAAAACTCAATTATGACTCAGTTTCCTTCACCTCTCTAGTCTTCCTTTCTTAAGGGGAAACAGAGGGGGCAATGCACTGTTTTTCAATTGCGTACAAATAGGCACATTTATAATTGGCCTTATTCTAATGCTTGCTGATCTTGTTCTTTCCAGCCCTTTGTTTGTTCTCTTCACATGCCTATCTCTATTTCTCGACTCTTCTTTTCCTTCTGCTGTAGCTATGTCATCCGGTGAGCTTGAAGAAGAAGCGCGTTGCTTCTTCACCCTCAGCAGCTCTTTCCACAATACAGTACATTTTGGTGGCCTTGGAGATGGGTCATCATCGATTAACCAACTCACCCTACTCTCCTCCTTGTTAATCATTTCTTCCTCTTCTTCTTTCACAGCATCTTTTGTTTTAAGGCTGATTTTGTTGAGCTTCTCCGAATGCTGCATTTGCCAAAAGGGAAGTAGCTTTCCTTCAAAGAAAAGCTCATCCGCAGTCAACATGGCATGGCTGCTCTCATTGCTTGAAAGGAACTCAAATTCTGCAGCTCTTGCCTTGCCTTTGCCCTTGATCTCCTTCTCCTTCTCTGGTTCTTTCTCTTCATTTTGAGAATGTGGATTGATGGAAATGAAGTTGGTTTCATCAAGGAAATCAGCAGAGAAAGAAATCCGTGGACTTGAAATTAGCTCAAGCTCAATAGTAGTTCTAGAGGTTTTCTGAATAGCTTCCAGGGCCATTCTTTAGGATTTAGGATTCAGGCAAAATATTTTTTGGCCTGTGAGGTGTGTTTCAGTCTGATGTAATGTATTGTCCATCTTTAAATTTTGGGAGAAACATTTTATTTAATAAATTATTCTCCCAAAATTTAAAAACAGACAATACATTAATTATAAATTTTTTATAATATTTACCTATAAAAAAATTTTAACCTTTCCCATTGTCAAATTTTCTTTTATGAAAACTTCCATTATCAAAATAAAATAAAAAATTTAATATGAGAAACCCCCGTTACCATATATTTTCCTACCTCTTGAATCCTTTCCTTTTTATACGTAAAAATGTACAAAGGTTTTACTTGGTATTACGGATAAAAGAAAAGAACAAAAATTAAAAGAAAAAAAGTGAAGAGATGAAAACATATTTTTATTCTTTTCATTGATTTTTTGGTTTAAAAAATGAAAAAAATAATTGAATTTCATCCATTGCTTGATAAAATTGAAAAATAAAACAAAAAAATGAAAATTATATTATTTTACATAATAACTTTTGTATATTAAAATAAAAAAAATCTAAATATAATGAACAATCTTAAATACATATATATATATAACACATATTCCCATCTCTCATATTCTCTCTTGTTTTTTATTTAATTTAAAATAATTTGTATTTACAAATAAATATGAAAATTAGTAATTTTTTCTATTTTTATTTTTTATTAAGTGTACTGAAAGTGTATTTTCTTTTTTTATTTCATTCTCTTTTATATATTCTTTCATTTTTTTTTAACTCTACCAAGCACACCCTAAGAGGGGATTTGTTTTCTTTATTTTTTTTTTCTTTCACTAACATTTGTTCTTCTTTTTAATTAAAAAGAAATGGATTAGAATTGAAAAGAAAATTTTAAAATTTTTTTTAATTGAAGATTTTGTTATGATTATAGGACTTAGCTTTAGAGTGTAAGAAAGAGCAGCAAACAGGAAAACTTTTAAAATAGAATCGCTGCTTAGGTTACCATTTACGCTTTGTGACAGTGGGAATTGATTAATTATTTGGATTAGTCTAAGGAACATAAAGATAATAACATGGAAGGAGGCTCAAGCATGTGATCACATGCCAGTAATTTCCAGCCATGTGGCAGCTGAATCAAATATAACATCTGGTGACAAATCTACCCTCTCAAAGGACTTGGCCTTTTTGGTATATCTTGTTATTTTCCTCTTCGATGTGAGGGTATTTTCGTTATCGAAAAAATAATTGAAGTGGTAGGTATCATGTCCGGTTCTGAAAAGCTTCTTCCAAGATTTGCACGTCCTTAATTAAATACAGAAAACTAATAATTAACATAATGGTAAATCTAGAGTTTGATTTGGGAAAATTGCAGCTAAGTGTATTAAGTACAAAATAATAAATAGCCAGTGGTTTATATAAAATAAATATAACTTTGTATATTAAGTATAACATATATATTTCAAGTGTAATAGGTACTTCATTGTAAAGATGAAAATACCCCATACTGTCTTTTGTTTTTAACTTGTAAATCCAAATTTAAGAGTCGTACATGGCACTAGATGTGTCAAAACAGGGGCAGCGCCGACCCTACATGGTCCAGTATTTGGTCCACTCTTGGTCTGACTGTAATGGCCCAGCTAGCTTATAGCAGGGTTTGACACATTTTGAATCTAATAGTTATTTTTTTATTATAATTTTTTAATTTATTTTTTATTTTAATGTCATAATTATTAAAAAAATTAAACATAATTTACATGGATCGACTTAAAATGTCTACGTCTGGTAAAGGTGAAAACATTTTACTTGTTATGTACACTAGAATGCTTCCCCGCAGTTCGTTTTGAGAATTTTTTTTATATATTTATGAATATTTATTTTTTTTATTTAATAAAAATTAAGTATTAAAAATATATTTTATAAAAAAATATTTTATTTTATTTTTAATGATTATTTTTATTCATTTTATAATTATAACTAAATATTTTAGAATAATAGACTTAATCTAACTTTCTTTTCTTTTCTTTTGAAAATTGAAATATGCATACATTTGAATATTTACCACTTTGTATTGACTAATTGACTAGTGAAAGAAAAAATTTTAAGGAAAAAAAAAGTTATAAATATTTGCAACATTTGATATTTATATTAAGTATATTTATCAATACTTCTATATCAACGTTGGGTTCAAATAATCCTCATATTGAAGAATTTTAAGAGTCTTCAAACAATTTTTAAAGCCAATAATTATTTTTAACTCAAGAATTTATTTAAAAAATTATATTTTTAATCAAAGTCTCCTCTTTCAATTTTCAAATAATTAATTTATTATACAATTTGATATATTTTTATCAATTTTAATTTTATAAATAATTAAATAAATTATAATAATAATAATAATAATACAAAAAATTATTAAAGAACATAAAAAATGCTTTAATAAATATAGCTCAATTAAAAATTATCAAGATTCATTTTTTTCTTAGATTAGGGTTTTTATTTCTAAAGTGGACCAAGTAAAATCTCAATCCATTTACTTTCTTTCAAAATCAACAAAAATAATTCAATTATTGATCCAGCCCATAAAATATATGATATTTTGTTACATAAGACATGTGTCAACCTCTTATTTCTTTGGGGATTTTTTTAATTGTATGTTATAGATGTTGTATATTAGAGATGTTATGGATGTTAGATATTGATAAATTGAATATATTAAACCTATATTTTTTTAATATTATTAAAAACTTAGGTGATTTTAAAGGGTAATTTAGTCTTCATTGTGTAAATTATTACATTTAAAATTAAAATATAGCCTATTACATTTGATAGAAATTTGATATGCTTACACTCAATCCCAATTATCTTTTACAAAACACTGATAATAAATTTTAAAGCCATCGTTAGACCAAACTGTAGGTTTCCCTTGATTATTTCTTGCAGACCACATTTTCCAGGCGTTCCATGCCCCTCTGTTCTATTCAATCACTAATGTTTTAAATGATTATATGAAAACTTTAATTAACCAAAAAAAAAAACCTTAACTCTATAAGTCTTCCTAGTATTGTTTAAATAATTTGACCCTTTTTAATAAAATATTTACAATATTAAAAAACAAAGAATCTGAAATAATCTAATAATCTTATCCTATTTGAAAATATCAAATACTATAATCAATTAAAATGGTGATATGTTTCTAGATAGTATTGATGTTACGATGATTGTAATTTTTTAAAAAATTATTTATATATTAATATTTTAATTATAGTCAAAATTTCAGCTTGCACAAGAAATTTAGTACCTTTTTTTTAAAGCCTATTTGATTCTTGCTGTAACTTTTTTTTTTTAACAATAATTTAGTACCTTCTTTTAAGGCCTACTTGATAGTAAATTTAATAATTTATGTATTTATATCATATAAAATATTAATAATTTATATATTTATATTATATTTTATATAAAAATTATTTATTATAATTTAAATCGATATAAAAATATAAAATATATTTTTTAATTTTATTAAAATTTTAAATAATATTATTTTATATTTTTTATTTATATATATATATGTTTTATATATTATCATATCATATTTTTAAGTATAAAATTTATTTGATATGGTTACCTTTGGGTCATGGGAACCATAAAACTTTTTTTGGGGAAATACAATTGATCCGGTCTAAACTCCAGGACCGAAAGCATGTAAGCTAATGTGGCGATAACGAGTAGATACTTCCGCAGGAGCATAATCGATTTTCAGAGTGGCGGACCATTAATTTTTTTTCTATTAAATTAAAGGTTACCAACGGCTCTCAATTTAAAAAAAAATTCAATATAATATCTAAATTTAAAAATTTTAATGTGCTGTTTAAATTAAAAATTTACTAATTAACATATATTTAAAAAATATTTGTAAACTATATGTTATTATGGAGCTATTCACATTAAAATGAGTATTACATCAATTTATAAATTTATAGTTGAAGTATCATATTAAAAAAATTTTAAATTTAAATATCATATTAAATATTTTATTATAATTTAAAAATTATTCTTAACTTTAACTTTTAAATTAATGATTAATTGTAGTTTAATTTCACAATTAATTTTTAGATAAATTGATATGATATTAAAGTTATTTCTTTAAAATTATAAATTTAAAAAATTTTATGTACATAATATCATCTTCAATTAAATATATATAAAAATAAAAAAATCAAAAGTAAATTAAGAATTAAAAAAAAAAAAAAAAAAAACGTAGTCTAGTTTCTTGCAAAGCTTAGCTGTTACAGCACAACCCTTTTGCTTTCAGATGCTGGTGCTATTATTATTCAGCTGTATATTTGATAGCTGCCTGAGACTGAGAGACAGGAGGCCAAGTGTTTTGTCTCTGACCAAGTTCATTAATAAATTCTGACCAGGATCCATGACTAATTATTATGCTTATTAGTCGAAGCCTGAAGACGGCAACAGACGAGTTGAGATGCTATCAAACATTGCTTCAAACCTGAGAAAGGAGAAGCAATCTAGGTTCATTCCAGAGCCACACGTTTCACCTTCAAGATTTATTTTTATCATTGAAATAAAAATTTTATTATTCATTGATATTTGATTTTGACTATTAATATTTTTTTAAAAAAAAAATTTCTAAAATTGCTTTTCAAGAATTACATTGGAGCAGAGATTAAATTAGAACAGATAAAATTTCTCAATATCTACGTCTCTAATTAGTCTTGTTTCATTGTCTTTCACCGCATGTCACTACATTTAATACTTTAGGGTGTACTTTAGTCTTTCTCTTTAGCAGCTCTTGACAGATATCATTTTACTTACTTGCAATACTTTCTTGTCTTGTCAAAGAATCCATTTACAACATTTCACCAACATACTGCTTTGACAAATAGGGTTAAATATGAAAATGACCATTATACAATACTTTCTTTTATCAATTTGATATCCAAAGAAATAAAAACTGTAATTAGGTCGTTCCATCATAAAATTTTGGTACCAGTGGTGGTGCCACACGAGAGCC